TCTTTCTCAAACCACCTTTGAGTTTACATGTCACTTTACACATTTTCTGGCAACTAATCATGTCTACATGTTTTTTTTTTTTTTGAAAGCTATAGTCATATTATCTATCTCTGTATCTTCCTTAGTACCTTTAACTGGAACATTCTTAATTAATGACTCAAATTAGATAGACAGTATTTGGTGAGTTGAATAAAGGAGAAAATAAACTCTAGGCATTTGTAATTATTAATATACAGGTAAATTACCAATAGCCAAATATAAGTAAATATTATGGCACAAAAGTCAAATCAATCTTAGATAACTTTTATGAAATTGGTAACTTTCAAAACCAAGATTGCTTTATAAAGTTACCTATTGAAAGAATAGAGAAAAATATTCTTACATATTTTGGGTCTTTTTTCTTCTCCAAGTACCTAAATGAACCAAACTATGAGACTCTGATTGCCATTCAGATTGGAATAATGGAGCAAACCATTGCTGTTTTAGAGAAGGTAGGTCTCAAAGTTATTGATCATTATAATCCCAACAGTTGTGAATTATTTAAACAAAGTAATAGTGTTCCAAATAATGAATTCAAACACAGCTTAATAAAATCATGGTCCTTTTTTGACATTCATGATCATATAGAGGCCCCTGAATGGTGTCTTTGCAACCACAAAAAGTGTGGTAGACTGAAGCACTTATTTTAATACTAGAATTAACCCCTTGGGAGATATCTAAGTGTATGTGAATTCCCAGTTTCACATTAAGTTGTGATTTATGTAACAGAATGTTGACGGTCTTTCGTTGGCGTTGTAATGCCTTTGTTTTCTCATAACTGCTTAACAAATGCTCAGTGTAGATTGTATAGCATATATAAGATGGAAATGAAGTACTCTCAAGGCTTTATGTGTTTTAATATTCTAAAACATGGTATTAAAATATCATGCTACTTTTAAATAATTTAGTTACTATGTGCAGGCATTATGTTAGGCAGTAGGGATATGGTGATAAAATGATATCTTGATGATAATGAATTTAAATTTTAAAAATAGGGATCCCTGGGTGGCGCAGTGGTTTGGCGCCTGCCTTTGGCCCAGGGCGCGATCCTGGAGACCCGGGATCGAATCCCATGTCGGGCTCCCGGTGCATGGAGCCTGCTTCTCCCTCTGCCTGTGTCTCTGCCTCTCTCTCTCTCACTGTGTGCCTATCATAAATAAATAAAAATTAAAAAAAAAAAGAAACCTGTAGGCTTTTAAAAAAATAAATAAATAAAATAAATTTTAAAAATAGTGTCTTTATAAAATATTTTCTTTCAAAATTATTTTTTGGGGTGTCATGGAAACAAAAATTTCAGACCCACAAAAAGAATGTGGAAAACTGCAAAAAACTACTAAAAAAACTGGGAAGGTACAGCAATCAAAAAGATATAGCAAATTATACTCTAAGCTGCAATTTACGAGAAGAGCTGGTTGCTGTCTCCGAAAGGAAAGAGATCTGTAATGCAGTGGGTAAGAATTTTTTTTTTTCTTCACTCAACTGTAGGTTTTTTTAAAAGTTACTACCATTCCTGAAATCTGGTCAGTAGTTACAAAGTTACCAGCATTTCTTCCACATGTTTAACTGATTCCGAGTGCTGTTTCTATATTTGAATGCCTAGATAGTAATCCAACTAATTCTCTTCTTCATTTTTGGGGTAGGGTCTAAACTGACTTGTGAAAAGATTGCCAAAGAACGATATGAAAACATGATGGAACAACAAAAGTTAACAAATATTGCAAAACAACAAGCTGAACAAATTTTAATACTGCAGACTGAACTTGAACGATTAAGGATGAAAACATTTCCTGCTCTTGTTCAAATGTAAAAACGCTGGTGGAATACACAAGACAACCAATGATTTAAAAAATAATTTCACTTCATTAAAATTATATTTTTCTCCCATATCAGGAAATTTAAGTAGAGCTTCTTAGTTGCATTTTTAATAGCAAATTATTTAACTTTAATCATTATAAAAATGTTTGTCTTGCATGAATGTGTAAAATATCATGAATTGTTTTCATTCACAAGTGAACTGAAAATATTCAAAATGTATTTTACTCATTTTCTCATTAGTCTTGATGTTATTCATAAAAACAAAAGATTCTTAGCCACTCCTGGCATTTCTAGTTTTATAAAATTACCAGAAAACTTAAGAGTTAATGGAAGATTTTTACATTTTTCTCTATTTCCCAAGTTTTCTTCAGAAAACATTTCTTCTATAATCAGAAAAAAATTTCTCAGAACATTTAGGTTTATTCCCAATTCTAGCAATGAGAACAAAATGAACTATTTCCTTTTACCAAGCCTTAAATCATTTGAAAAGTACATTTTTTTCTCCACATAGTCTTCTACATTACATATCATTGTAATAGATGATGTAATAGATAATTAAATAATGAGATTAAGTGGTCAGAAACCTGCTTCACCCTTCAACAGCCTGTCCACTGCTGCATTCCAAGATGGTACCATTAGGATTATTTACCATAATCTCCAAGTAATGTCATGGTCTCATTCTTCTGAAATTTGTCCATTAAATGTTAAATTTAATCTGCAACACCATATCCAATGTGCACAGGTGTAGGTAAAGCAAGAGAGCTCATACAACCTTCTATTTATAAAAAAAAAAAATCTTTAAGAGGGGATCCCTGGGTGGCTCAGTGGTTCAGCGCCTGCCTTTGGCCCAGGGCATGATCCTGGAGACCCGGGATGGAGTCCCGCATTGGGCTCCCAGCATGGAGCCTGCTTCTCCCTCTGCCTGTGTCTCTGCCTTTCTCTCTCTCTCTATCATGAATAAATAAATTTAAAAATCTTTTAAAAAACTCTTTAAGAGATTTAAAAGCTCCTATTTAGAGGACCAGTTACTACCGTATCTGATTACCTATATAATCAATACTGGGTAGGAATCGTAAGAGAAAATAGTAGGCCCAACATCATTTTTAATGATAGCCTTCCTTAGTACCAGAATGACTCAAGTACTAAATTTGGCTGATTCAGCAGAGGAGTGCCCACTGGTGACATTTCCTACATCTTGGATCCTTCAGAATTATCTCTAAGGTGATTGTGGGGGTGGGAGGCTGGACCCAATGGTGGAAAAGTGTGTGAAAGGTAGAAATACTTTGTACTTATTATGAGATCATCAAAGTTCTCTGTCCTGTTGGTCTCTGTCCTGATTCAAACATCGTTCTACTAGGCTTTTTTTCTCTCCATTTTTTATGGTGATACAAATTCCAGTGACCCAGATTAATCTGTTGCCTAATTTGGCTCCATTTGCTCATTGTCAATGCCACAAATTTCACTGTAGATTCCTAGATCTTAACAGCATATGTGATTTCTATTTCTTAGTGGCTACCCTGGGTGATTCTGACAATTCAAGCTTTTTGCTTTGAGGCATGGATAGAGTGGAGGTTAGCCGAAATCTCTTGCCTGCAAGCTAAATTCTACTAGCAGAACTATTCAAGAGACATTTTCTGGTTTTGGGGGTTGGCATTGTAAGGGCACCAGGGTCATCCATCCCAACTCTTGATACTGTCTATGGTACTGATTCCTCTCAACTTCTGGTGAACTAACAGCAATTATATTTTTATAGTTCTTTAAATTACCTATGCTGTCAAGTAGTAAGGTAATTAATTGGGACAAATATAGCACAGTTCTAAGTATAGGACTTAGTAGGGCTCTCCTGCTCAGTTGCTGGTTTCAAATCCTGGGTTTACCACTTCAGCTTTAAATAACTACTTAATTTTTAAATAACTACTTTAGCTTAAATTTGGGATGCCTTTAAAATTGGGATGCCTATAATTTTAAAACTCAAATGAGTTAACATACTTTTTAAACTGGCACAAAGCAATTGCTAAGTGAATAAAGTTTTTATGAATAAAAATACAGTATTTTTTCATTTTTATGAATAAAAGTATAGTACTGTGATTTTTTAAAATAAATATATCCCATTAAATAGAGGCGAAATTCAACAAATTATAAAATAGAGTCCCTCATAGGCATCAAACTCTCCCATAAGTCTAATCCATGTTCCATGATCCACCTACTGTTGCAAGAATATCTGCTAGAGCCCCTGGCACCCAGCCAGTGCCTTGAAAATGCCCATTACTATGTCCCCATCTGCTCTCAACTCTCCCACATTTAGGCCTTCTAGCTGTGCAGTAAGCAGCAATGGAGGCTGATAATCTCACAAGACAGCTCCCTAGAGATACCCATGTGGGACTCTCAGGGCCAGGGAAGGCCCATCTGAGGCCTGGGCCAGTCCTCTTGGTTTCATCGCAAAGACAATGGCAGTGTCTAGAAGGTAAGAATTTGTGTGTGTGGCAAGAGGGGAAGGGTAATACCAGCATGGACACTAACAATGAGAATAGATATAAGAACAGGGTCCTAAGGTCTCCTGCTATGCCAAATATTAATGGTTTGTTAGATATGGGACAGGACTGGGCCAAAAACAGGGTACACTTGGAGGGGGAGGGCCCTCAGGGTAATGACTATTTTCCTACTAGTAGGGAAATACTTTCTTTCAGGATTTTTTTTTTTTTTTAATCTAAGTGAAGATGTTTACCCTTTAAAAGAGTCCAAAAGCAGAAACCGAGGAGGCCCTCCAGAAGGACTGGCAGGTAGAACCAGGAAGACACTGATCCACAAAGTTCTTTCCATCTATCACCTCTGCTTTTCTTGGTAAGGGCACATACTGTCCTTCTTAACACACCAGCTTTTGTTTCCAAATTTACCTACAACAGCTTCAGCCACAAAAAGAGATGTGCTTTCTTTTCCTAAATACAATTCCAATTCTCACACTGGGCCAGCTTGGGTCATATTTCTGTATGCAGCCACAATGACAGGTAACAGTGTATAATACAGCAGGCAGAAGCAGCCCTATGAAGGTGGGTTTCCGGCTGAGGAGTCACTATGAAATGAACAGATGAAGCTAGAAAGGTAGACAAATGTGAAGGACCTTGTATGCCTTAATGTGAGGGATGAGGATATGTTGTTTTTAAGAGAGAGATGGCCATTTCACTAAATGAAATGAATACAATAAATTTGAAGAGACAGGGAAGAATAGAAATTTTGGACATATAAATAAGTTTAATTACCTGCTACACCATTCAGATGGAAATGTGGGGTAAATGGATAGAAACAAGGGCCATAAACTTAGAGGAGACAGGCCAGCATTTTTAGACAACTTTAGGTTTAGACATTCACCAGACTGAACTAATTTTTAACATTTAAAATAAAACTCTAAAACTTTTTTTTACCACAATAAACAAAACGTATTAAAATTGACCTCCAGAAATGACCCAATTACTTTGTAAACATGATTTAATTTTTTTTTCACATTTCTTTAAATGTCAAGTTTTCTCTGGCAAATTTATTCAAAATACTATATTTTCATTTTAGAACTTACTTTACATTGCAGAGTGCCCTAAATTGACATTCATCAAGACACCTTTCTCTAAGCCCTAATGGTTTCTACCTTCCTTTTAAGATGTATTAAGTAAATTTGTCATTCTCAAAAATATTCCAGAGAAAAAAAATATGAATTAAACACCCATAAATTCTTCTTCATTTCTGTTGTAGTGTAGCAGTTTATCATCTAACCCACAGTGGTCTATCAACTGAGTAAGGCTGAGTTTCTTGTTTTCCTCAGACATAGCTGACTGCAACTCATAAAGCAACAGCTGGCTACAGCTTCTCCACTTCTGTATTAACAACTGTAACTGAGACAGGTCATTCTGAAAAAAAAAAAAAATCGGTCAATAACTAGCGAGGCATCCTATTTTAACATACTTAATGAAAGTTGTTAATCAATGAGTAGGTTTAAAGGGTAACACACGGTCAGGACTGGGACTTCTACCCAGGAAAAAGTAGGATGGTTTTAAGTGGAATGGTTACAATGACCCAGAAATTGAGTTCTACGGCTATTTTATTTGGTCCAAGCTTTGGACCATTCTTACCCTCAGGGACAAATCAAATCATAAAATAGGGCACAACTATGTTCAGAAGCAACAATATGGGTTAAAACATGCTTTTTCTATTACAGCTGTACTTTTAAAAAATGAATATATTCAATTTAATATAAAAATATTCAACTTAATATTTTTCAATATTCATTTTCATTCAATATTGAATATTCAATATTCATTTCATTCTCTCATAAAACCCAAATCGTTATATTTAGAAAAATCCTAAAAATTCAAGACAGCAAATAAGATAAACTATTCCACCATTTATTCAACATTGGTGGGGAAGAAGGAGCCACTAGATATACATAAATGATCCACATCAGTAAAGGTTACCTTCTTCCAAGTGCCCAACCTCTATTTAATTCAACCTATCTGGGTTGAAATCTAAAATCTAACTTCTTTGTCTTATCAAACAAAATACCTGGAACATTTTAATAAGTTAGAAGAATACAAGATTATTACTAAAAATATTTATTATTATACTTTGTGGCCTGTTTGTAGCTTTTTTAATCATTCACTGGCAGCTGTCACGCTTTCGGTCTCACTGTGCTTGCCTCTCTCATTTGAAACTAATATTGCTACAGGCTGGAAATTAGAAAAACTTCAACTGCATATTAAATGATAGCTGGGACTTTTTAAAAGTTGAATCCGGTGTTTAGGGGCCTCTTCTCTAAATCTATGACTTACATTTGAGTTACAGTTGGTGGGAGACAGTTTTCTCGATATTTGGCTTAGTGTTTATTATGCTTAAATAAACTTATTTTCTCTTTGAAATTACTTTCCTATCATTTATTTTTTAAAAAATAAGAAGTGGTTCTGAAATTATTCTCACCTTTGATCTATACATTTTGACCAGTTTTAGCCTCCGAAGAAGATCTTCTTTCTCCTCAATCTGCTTCACCAATTTTGCTCTTTCTTCACTTAATCCTTGTTTGGAAAGATCCTCATTCACAAAGTCACTCTGGAGATCACTGCGTGACTCAGTATCAAGAGATTTAGATTCACAAGCACTGATACTCTTGAAGGTATTTTTCAAACATGTACTTTCTTTGAATTGACTGTCTATGTGTTTAAAATTTTCTTGAAAATCCAAACAGTTTTCCTCTATTGAAGGTTCCTCGGGAAAAGTCTGATCGTTTTCTTCATTCTCTACTTTAAGACGTTTTACCGCACTATAACAGGAATTAAATGAAAATCTAGTTTTCCTTAGTCGTTCTCTAAGTGTTGCACTCATCGGCTGGAAAGGAGCACAAAATAGTAATCAAGAAAAACATTCTTGTGTAAATAAATCTGCAGAAATAAAGACCTTAACATTTCTATAGTTGACACCACTAGATGGCTTTCTCTTTCCATGGATCTAAAGCAACCATCACAAAATGTCTTTCAATTCCTGCAAGCCCCATTAATTTTATTCTTTTTATTTTAGCAAAGTCAGCACCCTTCCAAAACAGTGTTGAGACACTTACCCCAGTCATCCCAAGCATCTGTTCAGCAACTGTCACACTCCTGACACTTCTGGGTGCCTTAGAGTTACAAATTAAGGGGAAGACCTAGATCCCTGCCACCAAAGACCTTCAGAATACTGCAGATTCAAACTTGCTCAGTCTGGAATTTTGTAGTAACCTGATCTGAAACTAAATGAACATAATTGATACCAGATGAAAATGGTGGGGGTAGTTCAAACTCATTATCATAGGAGAAAGGCCTAAAATTATTTAATAGTCCATAAAATATCTACTTATTGATCTACACATTACGTTAACAGTCTTCAGTAGAATTAAACCCACTGCTGGCACAATACCTAGAAATAAAGAATAGCTCCCATGCAAGGACTCGGATATGCATACTTGTTTTCTTGAACTACTTGGGCGGGGAGATGGTGGACTGGCACAGGCCCGCGGAGTGCTAGGTGAAATCACGGCTGGGTCGGATGGGCTTTCCATCTTGAGAACGGAATCTTGGCTTGCCTCTACAAAATTGAAAAAGAACAACAAAAAATAACCAATCAGAATGTAAATACATACTGTTTCTGTAAAAGAACTTTTTACTGCTGTACATATCACCTCCACGAATAAGCCAGCAACGGCTTCACTTAGCTGTGGTCCATTCTTGCTCGTTTTGCAGTTTCCCATTTACCTTCCTACCTACGACCGTGTGGGTCCACGTGGTGACTACCGGGACAAACGAGCTGGCATCTCCCCACAGAAACGCTCTCCACTTGTTTTATCTACATTAGAATATCCTCAAATCTGTCGTGTACGGGGTGGGAGAATTAACTCTGGCATTTTTTTTTTTTTTTAGATTTTATTTATTTATTCATGAGAGACACAGAGACAGAGAGAGAGGCAGAGACACAGGCAGAGGGAGAAGCAGGCCCCGTGCAGGGAGCCCGACGCGGGGCTCGATCCCGAGTCCCCAGGATCACGCCCTGGGCTGAAGGCGGCGCTAAGCCACTGAGCCACCCAGGGATCCCCTAACTCTGGAATTCTTAAGGAATTCTTTAATTTATAAGGAAACACAAACTCAAATCCTGACCCGAAAAAATCATCAGCACTGTCACAGTACCTTGAACCCTATAAAGCTGTGAGACTAGAACCAATGACCACGGGGGCCTGAGGAACAAGGCACAGGAGCGCAGATGACTAACTGTACGCCCGTCTGCGTCGTTTGAGCAGCGAACTGACCCTGGAAAGGAGAGTTAGCAGAGGTTTGTTTCCTCAAACAAAGGCATCAACTTTAGGGGGGGCGGGGGGTTTTCCTCCTCCTTCCACCGCAGCAGAAAACCCACACTAGGCCTCGGGAGCCCCCAGGTCGGAGGAAGGTTGGGAAAGGGAGCTCCGCTCGACGCGACCGCAGACCCCCGGAGCAGCCCAGCCCTCACACTCGCATCCACTCGCCGGCCCGCGCTCTACCTCCCTCCTCCACCTCCCACAGCGCGGAAAACGCTCGCGGCCCTGGGGGGCGGGGCCGCAGGGGAGGCGGAAGAGACGCGCGATTGGCCCGATCGACCGACGCGCAGCTCGGCGTGCCTCTGGGCCCCGGAGCGGCCGGACTGCGCGTGCGCGGTCTCCAGCGCCTCGAGGAGGCGGAAGCGGGGCGGGGTCACGCGGGGTCCGCAGAGACGTGTGATTGGCCCGGTCGACAGTCGCTCGGCGCTCTGCCCCGCCCAACGCCGGAGCGCGGCGGCACAGTGCGCGCGCGGCCGCCAGCCTCCGCAGGGTTGGGGGCGGGCCGGGCTGAGTTTCTGATTGACTGGCGGACGGATTCTGAGGGAATGGGGGCGGAGGGGCGGCGGCTTCTGAGGGAATGCGGGGGGGGGGGGGCGGAGGGGCGGCGGCTTCTGAGGGAATGCGGGGGGGGGCGGAGGGGCGGCGGCTTCTGAGGGAATGCGGGGGGGGGCGGGGGCGGCGGTTCTGAGGGAATGCGGGGGGGGGCGGGGGCGGCGCTTCTGAGGAATGCGGGGGGGGGCGGAGGGCGGCGGCTTCTGAGGGAATGCGGGGGGGGGGGCGGAGGGGCGGCGGCTTCTGAGGGAATGCGGGGGGGGGCGGAGGGCGGCGGCTTCTGAGGGAATGCGGGGGGGGGGCGGGGGGGCGGCGGCTTCTGAGGGAATGCGGGGGGGGGGGGGGCGGAGGGGCGGCGGCTTCCCTCGCAGTCGCTCCAGGCCTCGCCTTCCCCTCCCGGCTTCTTTGTGTTTGTGTGTGAGGGAAGGAAGCCCGGGCGTGCCCCGCGCCCCTCGGGCCTCGCTCGCCGCAGCTAACGTCGCCGTGTCACGCGGCGGGGCCGAAGCCGCGGAGCCGCCTGTGGCTGGCGTTCGCGGCTCCGCTCTGCTGAGGCGGGAGGAGACTCCGACGTGTTCGAGACCTTTCCAGGAGGCCCGTGCGGCTGCGCACCTCTCCAGCCTTTGCTGCCGCGAACACTTTTTTTTTTTTTTTTTTTGAGATTTCATTTACTTCTTCATGAGAGAGGCAGAGACACAGGCAGAGGGAGAAGCAGGCTCCATGCAGGGAGCCCGACGTGGGACTCGATCCCGGGTCCGTCCCCAGGGTCACGCCCTGGGCCGAAGGCGGCGCTAACCGCTGAGCCACCGGGGCTGCCCGAGATTACTTTTAGAAATAAATAAATAAAAGGCTTGAAAAACAGAAAAAATAATCCTCACTTCCTGGTGGCGATGGTCTGTTGCTGTGCAACAACAAAGTCAAGTAAATTGGGTGGAGCCCTGGGTTTGGGGAAAGATGATTAGTAATTTCTGAGTCACGTGGAAGTTGGGAATTTTAAGGAGCTGGTGTTTTCAGCCCTCATAAATGGCCTTTGGAAACGTTGATACGGTCTCTTTACGAACACCTCATAGCACAGAAGTGCCAGGGCCCTGAGGGATTGACTGAGCAGTCAGAAATAGGGAACCTGAAGACAACCGAGTGCAGGGAGGAAGGACGGAAAGCTCGGTGGCAGATTGCCTGGCTCCAAATCCTGACGTTATTTTATATGCTGGGCTTCCTCATCCGTAAAATAGGGGTGATAGGACGTTGACCTCCTGGCAATTGGAGGGTGAGATGAGCATTCACCACAGGCGCTGAAAACAAGCAGTAGATACGTAGGAAGCACTCGATAGTTGTTATTTTATAGACACAGTGATATTCACCATTCCCTAATTGATAGGAAGGTATGCATCATACAGTTATTTCATCCTTGCACCTGTCTCCCCATCCTTGCACTTATCTCCCCAGATTTTTAAAAAAGATGTTGTACTCCATAAAACCCCACATGATCTAAACCGTAACCAGCAGAAAACTTGGTGCCTCCATATATAACTAATAATATATAGTCCACTTCTCCTAAATTTTTCAAGAATTACATAGATCAGTCTCAAGGTGTTTGCAAAATGAAAGAAAACTCATGATTTTCTGATACAAGCGCCAGGTCTCAGTCTGTACGTTTGTTTCTCCCTTTCCTCATCCATTGGCACCAGTTACTCACACCGAAAAGAGCAGAATGATTTGTCCTGACACTAGGAGCACAATGCAGACTCTGCATATTCGCTATACCTCGGGGCATAAGGTTGGGTTGTTTTTATGATTCTCTAAAATCAGCTGCTCCACGGTCCTTTTATCATGATAGCCCAAGCTTAGAGCCGTGTTTTTGCTGGCTGCATAAAGGAAAACAACATCTTGTCTTGGAAATGTTCTGACTTGCTTATTATGTGAACTGGTATATTAAATGGGATCGTGTTGGCCTGATTTTCAAAGAACTTCAGAATAAGTATTCAGAAAAATTTGTGTTTCAGAAATGTGCGTTTGTTGACCTACATCTCTAACCTCCAATGTTGTTAGAACTGAATGACCTTCCCACATTTAAGTTTGTATTTCACTTACTCCAGAGACATCCCCAAGTGGAAACATACCTTACACTCGCAACTTAGTGTAAGAGATCTGGAATATAGCCCCAGAACAGTTTTCATTATACCTTTAGATAAAGCCTAGCAAATATTTCCATGACATTAGGCACCTGAAATCTATTGGCTTATCAGGAGTTTGTTGTTTGTGACACTGGACGTTGTATGGTACTTGAAACTTCAGGCTGGGAAAAATACTTCCCTAGAAAACCAGAAGGCAAGGACTCCTTACTCTACCATACAGAACAATTTGAACAATAGAAGTCAATGATAATAGTAATTAATATTAACCTAAGGCAGGCTTTCCCTGTGTGTTTTTTAATTTCTCCAAAACCCAAGGCTACTGTTAGCCACTTTGTTATTCATTAGGGAGTGGTAAAATGTTTCTTCCTTTCTTGTCTGTGATTATTGTCAGTGGAATGATGACATAGGCCTAATAATCTTTATGAGGCTTTTTTATTATTTTTTTAATAGCAAGAAGAAAATTGTCTCTTTCTTTCTCCATGCAAACACACACACACATGTTTAAGCCACAATTTGAAAGTTCATCTCACTGGATTTACTTATTTTTAAAATTCTTGGCGGTAGCATTATTTTAAAAATCTTAACTGTAATCTCAGGGTGACCTAAATCCCATTCCATTAACTTTTCTGAATTAACACAATTTTTTATATCATATAAATAGAGCTAGCATCCATAGATTATTGCTTAACAATTAAAAATATAAACAGACTTTTTAAAATTTAACTTTTTAAAAACTATTTTATTTATTTGACAGGCAAGGGGAGTGGCAGGCAAGGGAGAGGGAGAAGCAGGTTCTCTGCGGAGCAGGGAGCCCTATGTGGGGCTCAATCCCAGGACTCTGGGATCTTGATCCGAGCCAAAGGCAGACACTTAACTGACCTAGCCACCCATAAGCTCCTAAATACACATTTTAAAAACCAGGAATAAAATACCATTGGGTGAGGGATTGTATAAAATCCATATGAATAAGTTGATTTATAATGTCCATTAGGGCAAGTTAAACAAAATTTAATACAAATTTATAACATTCACGAAAAATCTACTAAATTCTCTTAAGTGGCTTTCAATATCTTCTGACATTTGTATGTAAGTTGAAAATAGTCTCCTCTATATTTCTTCTGCCATGAATTCAGTTCTCATAGACCTATCCATGGTAAAGAAGATATATTTTAGTGCTCTGTCATATTATAAATTTCCCTTTGAGTAACTGACAAACTATTTCTATTTCTTTTCTCTATTGCTTAAAGATCTCACATGGAATTTCATAATGTATAATTGATTGACTTATGGAGACTGTTGAAGACTTTTTTTTAAAATCAAAGTATGACCTTTGTGGGTAAACTGCTTAGTATTCTTTAGTGACATTAAGCAAGAACAGTTTTTATTTTCTACCTCAAGAGGAAAGAGCCCTTGACTTAGCTTCTAGGCATGCCTGAGAGGTTGCCTTACTGAGTAGGATGGCTACTTAGAGTGTGAAGATATGGGGAGGACCAATAGCATTAGTGTGATAAAAACTTGTCCACCACCAAACAACTAGAAA